TAATAAAAGAAAAACACAATGTTATTTTTAAATGCTACATACTTGGAATATACTATCATCTCCCTCCCCACCCTTTCGCATTCTAACTTTAAGTTCTTTGTCTGAAAAACAACTGATTATCACACCCTCAAGTTTCATAAGAAAGCTGCACACACAAAAAACCACACACACTTACAGGAGAAACCCAAAACCGCATTTACAGAGAATTGTTTGCTAAAAACATGAATGATGCTGAGGTTACTCTCTATTCCATCATTCAATTAATGTTATTTGTAAGCCATATAAGAAATTTCTTCTAGAACACCAGGAAAATACTGTTTTCACCCGAACAATATTTTTTTTATGGACAATGAGAATTATGTAACTTGTCACATTTCCTCTTTTTATTCTGGGCGACAGGAAGGTCAAAAGCAAATATGAGATATAATTTTAATAGCTTATGCAGGGCCTTACGCCTAAGCAGCTTTGTTCTGATGATTCCCCCCGCTCTAACTAAGTTTTTTAGTTTCTTTTTAATATTCTTTTACTGTATGGATGTATTTTTGAAGCTTTCCTAAACCCTCCTTAAAGGCAAGACATAAGTATAGCAATCTACAGTGTTCAGTATCAACATTCATAATTTATGTCCTAAAATTTAAAAACTAGGGGACGATAAGGTGTCCTGGTGGCGCAGTGGTTTAAGAGCTCAGGTTGCTAACCAAAAGGCTGGCAGTTTGAAATCCACCAGCTGCTCCTTGGAAACCCTGTGGGGCAGTTCTACTCTTCCTATAGGGTTGCTATGACTCGGAATCGACTTGATGGCAACGGGTTTGGTTTTGAGGGGACAATAAAATCACGATGCAGTATCAACTATCTTGCTCAACTAATAAATAAAATCTTAGTTCAAAGTCAACATAAGGAGCTAAAAATTATGACTTTACTCCCCTAGTGACACCATTACATTTATTTGCTTTCTTTCACTTAAGAAGGATATTCACTTAATTTTGAGAAAACAAATATAACCAACAAGATACTTCTTCCAGAACTAGATCGATTAATTAACATAATAAAAGGAGGTATTATAGGTTTTAAAGACACAGGCTTTGACATCATCAGGTAAGACCTGTGTTCAAATCCTGACATCACTACTTACTAGCTGTATGACTTTCTTCACATGTAAAATGTGGAGAGTAACATTAGCTACCTGTTAAGAGTGTGCTGAGAACTGAATAACAGATGTAAAGCACTTAAAGTAATGCATTATATATGGTGTGCCCTTAAAATAGCTGCTGCTGTCACTGTTGGTATTA